AGTAGTGGTAGTATTATCAATAGTAGCAGCGGTAGCAGTAGTAATAGTAGTAGTGCTAGTACTAGAGCTATCAGTACTAGTAGTAGTAGTAGTAGTAGTAGTAGTAGTAGTAGTAGTAGTAGTAGTAGTAGCAGTAGTAGTAGTTGTTGTGGTAATCGCAGTGATACGAATACGAATAGCGGGGGGTAATCGTAATAGTAATCGTACATGTAGCAGTCGTAGCAGTATTAGCAGCAATAGTAGTAGTAGCAGCAGCAGCAGCAGTAGTAGTAGTAGTAGTACGAGTACGAGTACGGGTACGATTACGGATAGGAAAAGGAGCAGTGGCAGTGGCCGTTGTAAAAATAGTTCGGCGTAGATAGTAATAGCGATACGTACAGCAGTAGTAGCAATAGTAGCAATAGTACTCGCTGTCGTAACAACCGTAGATGCAGCCGTACGTGCAGTAGAGGTGGAAATCGTCGTTTTCGCAATAGTCGCAGTTTTCAAAAGTAGTCGTAGTCGCAGTCGCAGTCGCAGTCGTCGCCGTAGTGGTAGTACGGTGTGGGCAATGGATAAGGAACCCTTAGATAAGTAATCCACGGTCTGGAAGCCAGTGGAACTTTAAATCGTGGATCGGCCGAGGATACCACCACCGCCCTCATTGGACAAGGAATACTCCAAGGCCTGGCGCCGCCTGGGACTATTCCTCAACAAACGCCTCCACCGTAGTAGTAGCAGTAGTACTAGTAGTGGTGGTCGTAAAAGTAGCAGTAGTGAGAAGGATAAGAGAAGTAGAGGTGGTAGTAGCAGGTAGTAGTAGTAGTAGTAGTAGTAGTAGTAGTAGTAGTAGTAGTAGTAGTAGTAGTAGTAGTAGTAGTAGTAGTAGTAGCAGTGGTGGTGGTGGACAGATTAGTATTCGTAGTAATAATCGTAGTAATAATCGTAGGAGTAGCAGTACTGGTAGTGGTGGTAGTAGTAGTAGTAGTAGTAAGAGTACGAGTAGTTGTAATAGCAGTAGTAGTGGTAGTAGTGGTCGTAGTAGTAGTGGTAGTAATAGAAGTAGTGATATTAATAATAGTAGTCGTAGTAAAAAATAATAACAAAAATAATAATAACTTCCCTGACGAAAGACCGAACCATATGCAGCGCGAATATCGCATTGTGGGGACAGCTTTCGGTGGAACTCCTTGTGGGGCCACGAACCGTTTGAGGGGCGTGCCGAATTGGGCGCGGTGGTGCCATGCGAACCCTCCCACTGGAGCCTTCGGTGGAGCATCCTCTGGGGCCACGAACCGTGTGAGGGGGTGTACCGAATTGGTTGCGGTGGTGACATGCGAACCCTCCCACTGGAGCCTTCGACGGAACTCCCTATGGGGCCACGAACAGTGCGAGGGGTGTGCCGACTTGGGTGCGGTGGTGTCATGCGAACCCTCCCACTGAAACCTTCGGTGGAGCATCCCTGGGGCCACGAGACGTGTGAAGGGGTGTACCGAATTAGTTGCGGTGGCGACACCCTTCCACTGGAGCCTTCGGAGGAACTCCCTATGGGGCCACGAGAAGTGTGCAGGGATGTGCCGGCTTGGGTGCGGTGGTGACATGCGAACCCTCCCACTGGAGCCTCCGGAAGAACTCCCTATGGGGCCACGAACCGTGTGAGGGTTGTGCCAGACTGGACATGCGGTAGGCGGGGAGGACGCATGCGGACGCGGCCACTGAGGCCTTCGGTGGAGCTCCCCATGGGGCCACGAACCGTGTGAGGGGTGTGCCGAAATGGGCATGCGGTGGGCGAGGAAGACGCATGCGGACGCGGCCACTGGGGCCTTCGGAGGAGCTCCCTGTGGAGTCACGAACCGTGTGGGGGGGGTGCCGACATGGGCATGCGTGGGAGGGCGCATGCGGACGCGGCCACGGGGCCCTCGGTGGAGCTCGCTATGGGGCCACGAGCCGTGTGACGGGTGTGCCGACATGGGCATGCGGTGGGCGGGGAGGGCGCATGCGGACGCGGCCACTGAGGCCTTCGGTGGAGCTCCCCATGGGGCCACGAACCGTGTGAGGGGTGTGCCGAAACTGGCATGCGGTGGGCGAGGAAGACGCAAGCGGACGCGGCCACTGGGGCCTTCGGTGGAGCTCCCTGTGGAGTCACGAACCGTGTGAGGGGTGTGCCGACATGGGCATGCGTGGGAGGGCGCATGCGGACGCGGCTACGGGGCCTTCGGTGGAGCTCGCTATGGGGCCACGAGCCGTGTGAGGGGTGTGCCGACATGGGGCATGCGGTGGGCGGGGAAGACGCATGCGGACGCGGCCACTGAGGCCTTCGGTGGAGCTCCCTATGGGGTCACGAACCGTGTGCGGGGTGTCCCAGAATGGACATGCGGTGGGCGGGGAGGGCGCATGCGGACGCGGCCACTGGGGCCTTCGGTGGAGCTCGCTATGGGGCCACGAACCGTGTGAGGGGTGTGCCGAAATGGGCATGCGGTGGGCGGAGAGGGCGCATGCGGACGCGGCCGCTGGGGCCTTCGGTGGAGCTCCCTACGGGGCCACGAGCCGTGTGAGGGGTGTGCCAGAATGCACATGGGGTGGGCGGGGAGGACGCATGCGGACGCGGCCACTGGGGCCTTCGGTGGAGCTCCCTATAGGGCCACGAACCGTGTGAGGGGAGTGCCGAAACAGAGATATGCGGAGGCCATAGGCCAGGAGGGAGAGGAGGGAGGAGGGGGGGAGGAGGAGGAGGAGAGGAGAGGAGAGGAGAGGAGAGGAGAGGAGAGGAGAGGAGAGGAGAGGAGAGGAGAGGAGAGGAGAGGAGAGGAGAGGAGAGGATAGGAGAGGAGAGGAGAGGAGAGGAGAGGAGAGGAGAGGAGAGAGAGGAGAGGAGAGGAGAGGAGAGGAGAGGAGAGGAGAGAAAAGAGGAGAGGAGAGGAGAGGCGAGGAACGTGGGGACCGTCTCTTCAAAACGAGGACCCAACACCGCAGGACGGTTGGGAAAAAACACCGTCGCCCGTCGCAGTAGCGTAGTCGTAGTCGTGGCCGTCGACGTAGTCGCAGCCGTGGCCGCAGACGTCGTCCCAGCAGACGTGATAACAACGGCAGTCGTAGTCGTAAGCGTGGTCCTCGTGGTAGCAGCAGTGCACGGTTTCCCCCGGGGCCGTAGGCGACCCGAAGAGGAGGAGGAGGAGGAGGTGGAGGAGGAGGGTGAGGAGGAGGAGGAGGAGGAGGAGGAGGAGGAAGAGGAGGAAGAGGGAGAAGGAGGAGTAGGAGGAGGAGGAGGAGGGAGGGAGGAGGAGGGAGGGAGGAGGAAGAGAAGGAGGAGGAGGACGGGTCGCCTAAGCCCTTCGGAGAAACCCTCCAAGCAGCAGCAGCGGCAGCACCTCCGAGCGGAGGCTATGGGCGTCATAGGGTGCCAGGGCGGGCACTTGGGAGGTCACGGGCGGCAGCGGGAGGCCACGGGCGGCGGCGGGGAGCGACGGGAGGCAGCGCCGCCCAGCCGAGTCTGTGAATATTGTTTATCTGTATCTTTTAGTTTCTGTGAATGTTTCTGTGAATAGTTCTGTGAATATTGCGTCGATCTGACAGCGCATCTTTTAGTTTCTATGATTTGTGTTTCTCTGTGTATATATATACACATATATATATACACATGTGTGTATGGGCCGACCCTTCCAAACAAGCAGCTGAAAGAAAGTAAAACTACAGCACTTCGGCCCTCGATTCCGGATCCTCCTCCTCCTCCTTCTCCGCCTCCTCCTCCTCCTCATCCTCCTCCTCATCATCATCAGCAGCAGCAGCAGCATCAGCATCATCAGAATCATAATCATCATCATCATCATCATCATCATCATCATCATCATCATCAGCATCAGCATCAGCATCAGCATCAGCAGCAGCATCATCATCATCATCATCATCATCATCATCATCACCACCATTACCATCACCATCACCATCATCATCATCAGCAGCAGCATCATCATCACCATCACCATCACCATCACCATCAGCATCATCATCATCATCATCATCAGCATCATCAAAAATCATCATCAGCATCATCATCAGCATCATCAGCATCATCATCAGCAACAGCATCATCAGCAGCGTCATCGTCAGCATCATCATCATCATCAGCATCATCATCAGCAGCATCATCATCATCACCACCACCACCACCACGACCACCACCACCACCACCATCATCATCATCCTCCTCATCATCGTCATCAGCAGCATCAGCATCATCATCATCATCATCATCATCACCATCACCATCAGCATCATCATCATCAGCATCATCAGCATCATCAGCATCATCATCATCAGCATCATCATCAGCAGCATCAGCATCATCATCATCATCAGCAGCAGCAGCATCATCAGCATCATCATAATCATCATCAGCAGCATCATCATCATCAGCATCATCATCAGCAGCAGCATCATCATCATCACCACCACCACCACCACCACGACCACCACCACCACCACCACCATCATCATCATCATCATCATCATCGTCATCATCATCATCACCATCACCATCATCATCATCATCATCATCATCATCATCATCATCATCATCATCATCATCATCATCATCATCATCATCTTCCCCCAGACCACTTGGGCTCGCGGGCTTTCGACAGCTGCTCTTACTTCCGTTCCATTCCCATTCCTCCCCCAGATCACCGACGACTCGGTGATCTGCTCTCGAGCTGCTCCTCTGACGGCCCCGGGGCCCGGAGCGGGCCCCCACGGCCCGATGACTGCGACAAAAACCGCTGGCGCGGCTCCCTCGAATATCCCCCGAGAAGCCGCTGGGCTGCGGCGGCGGCAGCCGCCCGTCTGACGCGTCTGCGACCAAGCCGCCGGCCGGCGGTCGTCGCAAACGCGGCGTGCGGCGGCGGCGAAGGGGCGGCGCTCGAGGCGCGGTGGCGGAGGCGGCCCGCGGCCAGCCGATTGGCAGCGGCGGCGCGCGGCGGTGAAGGCGTCGCCGGCGGCGGCGGCGGCGGGCGGGCGGGCGGCGCCCGTGCGACGGGGCGGCAGCGTGCGTGGGCTGGCCGTCGCCGACGAGCGCCTGCGGGGCGCGGCCGCCATGTAGGCGCTGCCACTGGGACTCCAGGTGGCACCGACTATAGGGCCTCCTCCTCCTCCTCCTCCTCCTCCTCCTCCCCCTCCTCCTCCTCCTCCTCCTCCTCCTCCTCCTCCTCCTCTCCTCCTCCTCCTCCTCCTTCCCTCCTCCTCCTCCCCTCCTCCTCCCCTCCTCCTCCTCCTCCTCCTCGTCCTCCTCCTCCTCCTCCTCCTCCTCCTCCTCCCCTCTCCTCCTCCTCCTCCGCTGGCCTGCTGAATCCCTCTCCCCTCGCCGCGCTCGCGCGGGTTCTCGCGGCGAGAAGAGGCCTCCCAGAAGGGGAAATGTGTGAGGGGTGCGCCGCAACGGGGCGGGGCCGCCACTGGGGGCCTCAGCTGAAGCTCCCTACATGGGGCCACGAAGCGCAATGCTGGGCGGGGGCGGCGTATACGAACGCCGCCACGGAGGCCTTCGAAGCTCCCTATGGGGTCACGAAACGCTGCACTGCATTGGGGAAACCGCATGCGAACACCGCAACTTCGGTGGAGCTCCCCATATGAGGCCACGATACGCTGTACTGGGTTGGGGAACCGCTTGCGGACACCGCAACTGAGGCCCTTCGGTGGAGCTCCCCACATGGGGCCACGAAACGTTGTAATGAGGAGGAACGCATGCGAACACTGCAACCAAGGCCTTCGGTGGAGCTCCCCACATGGGGTCACGAAACGCTGGCTGGGGGGACGCATGCGAACACCGCCACTGAGGCCTTCGGTGGAGCTCGGTATGGGGCCGCGAAACGCTGCACTGAGTGGGAGAGCCGCATGCGAACACCGCCACTGAGGCCTTCGGTGGAGCTCTCAATGGGGCCACGAAACGCTGCACTGGGTGGGGGAACCGCATGCGAACACCGCCACTGAGGCCTTCGGTTGAGCTCCCTATGTGGCCACGACACGCTGGCTGGGGGGGAACTGCATGCGAACACCGCCACTGAGGCCTTCGGCCACGAAACGCTGTACAGGGTGGGGGACCGCATGCGAACACCCCCACCGAGGCCTTCGGTGGAGCTCGTATGGGGCCACGGACCGTGTGAGGGCTGTGCCGAAGTGGGATGCGGAGGGCAGAAGCACGGAGGGGGAGGAGGAAGGAGGCGGAGGAGGAAGGAGGAGACGCGTTGCGCTGTCTCTTTCAAACGAGGGCCCAGCACCACGGGATGGTTGGGAACAGTTTCACGGACGGAGTGGGGGGTGTCAACATGAAGCTCTCGCCCTAGCGCCGCGCAGATGATGTCTACAACATTGCAAGGTTTCCCCACAACGGAACCGCCTGAAGGTTCGCTCGCTTCGTCAGTATCGACCTGACGTAAAGGAAACGCTGCACAGGAGACCCACCTGTGCGTGAACAGGATTAAGATGGGGAGGAGGAGCGGAGGACTGGGAGAGTGCCCTGGCCTGCGAAAGCGGCAAGCGGTGTTGCGTTGGAACCTCAGGCGGCCACAAGCGGCCAGTACTAAAGTCCAACACCGCAGGAGGTGGGAATCCGAAGACGAAGATAAGGAGGAGAAGGGGTCGCGGCAAAAATGGAGGCTGGCTCCCGCTGCCTCTTCTCCTCCTACTTGCTCCTCCTCCTCCTCCTCCTCCTCCTGCCTCCTCCTCCTCCTCCTCCTCCTCCTCCTCCTCCTCCTCCTCACTCTCCTCATCCTCCCCCTCCCTCCTCCCCTCCTCCTCCTTCTCCTCCTCCAACTCCTCCTCCTCCTCTCCTCCTCCCCCTCCTCCTCCTCCTCCTCCTCCTCAGCCTCCTCTTCCTCCAGCGGGGCCTCCTCGTCGCGGACGATCCTGGACCTCACGGCCGCGAGCTGGGCCTCCAGCAGGGGGGGGGGAGCAGAGCGTGTTCGCGTCTCAGGCGCGGACGCGGCATCCCTCCCTCTGCCCCTCCTCCCTATCCCTCTCTCCCTGTCTACCGACACCATTCCTCCCTCCCTCACTCCCTCTCTCCTCCTCCGCCTGCGCCTGCTCAGGCCTGCTCCTGTACCTCTTCCTCCTCCTCCTCCTCCTCCTCCTCCTCCTCCTCCTCCTCCACCTTCCTAATGCATAACTCCTCCCTTTCGCGCCCCGAGGCCGGTCGGTAGGGCGGGCCCGGCGTTTCGCCTGAGACTTCCTCACGACTTCTGGTTCTGAAGCTCATAACTTGCACCAGCTTCACGGATGGAGGGCGGGTCGCTTTCAAAATGTGGCGCCCGACGGACGCAGCGCCGTGCACGCTCATTTTGAAAATGTTAGAGGGTCACAGGTGGAGGGCGGGCCGTTTTCAAGATGTGGTTCTATCCTTCGCGCCGCGCGCTCGTCTCTTCACACATCTCAAGATCGGGTCGGGCGAAAGGGGGGGATAGCAAAGGGGGGGTTTGAGAATCAGCTCACGTAGCTGATTTTCCTGGCGCCTCCGGGCGCCAGAGGCGGCTATGTATCGAGGAATGAGCCCCTCGGTGAGGCCGAAACCAGCTGCATGCAGCAAATTTCGTAAACCCCCCCCCCACAACCCCCCCTTTCCCAATTCCCCCCCTTTTCGCCCGGGCCCGGCCCGACAAGAGCTTCACGGATGGAGGGTGGCCGCTTTTGAAATGTGGCTCTCCGCGCGCACTCGTTCGAACAACCCGGACGGAGGGCGGCTCCTGCTCAAAGTGTGGCTCTCGTCTTAGCGCCGCGCACATTCGTCTCAAGAGTCCCAAGCAGTTTCAAAGATTCTCATGGCTCACGTCCCAGGAACGGCGTAGCGGCACGATGTAGGACTGTGAGGGCGCAGCAGTTAGTGTGATCCGCGGTGTTGAAGTCCCAGGAACAGCGTTCTGGCAGCACTGAGGATCATCAAGACGCAACAGTAACGTAGATTCGCTGCGTTGAAATCCCACGAATGGCGTTCTGGCACGGTTCAGGATTTGCAAACGGTTGTCTTCCACTGGGGTATTTCTCTCAGTAAAATGAACTGTTGCAAAGGGGCTATGAGCAGGGTTCATGGCAACATCGTTGATACGTCTTGGGTTTACATTGGTCCTCCTCCTCCTCCTTTCCCTCCTCCTCCTCCTCCTCCTCCTCCTCCTCCTCCTCGATCCCCTTTCCTTATAAATACCCCCCCCCCTGTCGCACCCCGAAGCCGGTCGGTAGGGCGGGCCGGGCGTTTTGCCTGAGACCCGTCACCATGTATGATCCTTAGCCTGGGAATTCGCCAGTGCTTCACGCATGGAGGGCAGACCCTTTCACGGATGGAGGGCAGGACCTTTTCAAAACGGTGGAGAGCCGCAGTTTGAAAACCACTGGACCTCCATCCTTAAGTGTCGTAGAATTAGAAACAGATGTGCGCGGAGCTAAGGCAAGAGCCACATGATGCAAGCCATCGAACCTCCATCAGTGTGACCCCTAGAGTTTCAGGGTAGCGTAGTATAAGAAATCCCGAGCTGGAAAAGCCTAGCCTGGTATGAGTAGGCGAAGGGGCGGAAGAGGGAGGACAAGAAGGGGAAACGAGGAGAAGAGGAGGCGGAAGAAGAGGCAGTTATAGGTGGTCCTAGGAGGTCGGGGGTTCTACGGGATTCTAGAACAACCCAGGGGTCTCTGAGACGAAGGCAGGCGGAACAGGAGAAGGGGACAGGAAGAGGAGGCGAAATCATAACAGCTGAGGAACGGCTGGTTGACGACCTCGTGAACCAAAACGGCACGACCAATCATGGACACCATACCATGTTTTTCCGCTGCATGCGTGCTGGGAGCCCACCAGGCCGATCTGCGACCACTACGATGATGAAATGGATGACGAGGAAGTGCAGCGAGCAGAAGGACGTTCGACGACAAAATGCCCATGAAGCCCGCACAGTCTTCACGCCCTGAACGACTTTCGGGGGACTCAGGCAAGATGACGAGGATGACTAGGAGCAGGAGGAGGACAAAGACGAAAAAGAGGAGGAGAAGGAGAAAGAGGAGAAGCAGGGGAGAGAAGAAACCTGAGACGACGGAGGCTGATGCAATGAAAACATGCAGCACACAAGGGAAGGCATGGAGATAACAGATGGGGCCACGGTCGGGAAAAAATGCTTAGCGTGTCACGGCGACGGCCCCGACGACACGCCATGCCCTGCAAGCTGATAGCGTGTCGCTCCGCTCCGCGGGGCGGGAGGCTGGTAGGCTCGGGACGTTGACGCTCGGAGAATGGGACATGGTTAGCGTGTCGCGCCGAAGCGTTGTGGGTCACAACCGGTGGCACCGGTGGCACCGGTGGCGCGACACGCTAAGCAAGCGTTCCTGACAGTAACAGAGAAGCAAAAAAACGGCATAAACATACACTCTTGGCGGCCCGCGCGGGTTTCTCTTGGATGTGCGCTGGATCCCCCCCCTGGCGCGCGGAGCACGCCACGGGCGGCGCCTCCAGCGCCGCCAGGGGCGCTCCAGCTTAGATCCAAGAAACCCTCGCGGAGCGCCAAAAAAGTTTCCAGTGGAGACCCATGCCAAGAAACACCCTGCTTGCCTCCAGGGTGCCCTGGGTTTCTTGGGCTTCGATGGTTTTGCTGTGGAGAGCGTGACGTTCCCACACCAAAAGTCCATGGACGTCCACTGGGTTTCTCGTGGAAGGTTTCTCGTGGAAGGTTTGGGCTGGGTTTCTCGTGGAAGGTTTCTTGTGGGCTGGCCATCCACTGTATGCTCATGCCATGCTCCCTCACTCGGCGTGAGTATCACAACTGGGCAGCAGGTGCCTCGAGCTCGTGCCGCCTCGTGGCCAGGTCGCCTATCTTCTCGTCCAGCTGCTTCAGCTGAGCAAAGGGGGGCGGGGAGCAGCGGCCTGGCCCCCCGCCCCGTCGTCGTCGTCGTCGTCGTCGTCGTCGTCGTCGTCGTCGTCGTCGTCCGTCCTCCTCCTTCTGCTCCTCCTCCTCCTCCTCGTCCTCCTCCTTCTCCTCCTCCTCGTCGTCGTCCTCCTCCTCCTCCTCCCCTGACACTTCCCCCCCATGCCCTGCCCTCGCATCAGAGTTCACGTGGCACTCGGGCTCACGCCGTTGCTTCGAAGCAGAAGCGCCTGGCAACTGCGCGCTACGCGCGCTGGGAACCCTGCCACAGGCCTTGCAGAAGGTGCTGGCCAACCTGCCGTTTAGAAAACGAGATCGCGAAAAGCACCGGCTCCAAGTTCTTGAGCCGGCCACGCTTCCAAAGTCCGCGCGGGCGAGCTAAAATAAAAAACCCTGGCCTGAAAACACAGCGCCTCGCTGCGCTTCCGTCCGGTTGCCGGGCAACGTCTCCCAGCACGACCAGTGGTCTAAGTGCCAGCTGAACGCTCAGCGTTTTGCAGCCGCGGGTGGCAAGCACGGACTCGTTGGTGATGTGGCTAACACATGAAGGCCCCATGGCAGCGATTTGTCGCACTGTTGAGACACACTGTGTGCAAACGGCACACGGGCTTGGGTACAACTACATGATTCAAGTATCCGCACATCTTCTGACAGGATATCTCGCAGCGCTTCCAACATGTGCAGAACGTGCTGAAGTCTGCAGCTGCCATGCCCAAGCGTCTGCTCAGCTCGGGGCCGCTTCCTCCGATGGCAGCGAGGAGGCCACCCGGATAAACAATGCTTACCTTGCACGGCACAGCTGCGCCGCCTGGTTTTTTGAGTGCGGTCTGGCACCGAATAGGTAGAGCTTCTTGATTGTTCCAAGTCCGTCGTCAGGACGTAATGCTGCCCTGCCTCGTGAATGCAAGTCATGAGCGCGCCAGCGGGAAACGCCCGTGGTTTCGATCATCCTCTGGGGGACAAGCAAGGCTTCTGGCTTGCCGCGGCCACTTCTGAAACCGTATTGCGTGTCCCAGATTCGACGCTCTGCGCATGCGTCCTTCAGCCGAGCAAGCAAGATCATGGGATACAGCTTGTGCCCAATCAGTAGCGGGGATGTGGGCCTGTAGTTGGCGCAGTCCGCAACGTCGCCCTTCTTGAAGATCGCTGCGACCAGCGCTTCGTGCCACGCTGCGAAGACGAATGGTTCCTCCAAGCACCTGTTGCACCGAAAGTTCTGGTTCAGGCCATTCAAGCCCCGCCTCCTTGTGAGAAGGTTTGCCCCCTCTCGCTGCCCCCGTCGGCGCGCCGCCGACCCGATGAGCAGCAGATGCGGATACGGTGCGGGCATTGGATACGTACCCAGTGGATGAGGAGCCCAGGGTCTGGAAGCCGAGGGAGCTCCAATCGTTGCCTGGCCATGGATACCACCGCCGCCCTCCTCGAACTGTCTTGGTCGGACGTCGGAGCGACACGCCATCAGCTGTTCTCAAGGTCACTGCGCCTTTGCTGAAATGTCAAGCAGACGATTGCAGTCGGCTGGTCGCAACGAGGGCGACGCAGACATCCCCCTCGAGCGTCGCGGCCCCTGAGAGGCGTTGCACCTCGAGGGGAAGGGCGCGGCACGCGCCGCAGACAGTCCGCGCACCGCAGCGCAAGCCAACTGCAGAGGACTTGCTCCCGACAGAGGTTCGCAACGGCGCAGGGCGTACACAGCCTGAGGTCGGGCATGTCCTCCTACAGGCGGATTTTGAACGAACAATGCGAAAAATGCTCAAACAATGCTCCTCCAACATGGTCTAAAAATAATCAGAAATCGTCCCCAGACTATCTCTTGCCGATTGTTGCATACTCCTCCTGTAGAGGGACACGCCGGGACTGAAGACTCTGGGGCACCTTCCTGAGCTCGGCGGCGAGCGCGGGGGGGAAGCGAGAGGGGACGGGCCTCATCAGAAGGCTTCGGTCGGGCATGTCCTCCTACAGGCGGATTTTGGACGAACAGGTATAAAGAGGCGAGCGATAAATATTCTAAACATGCTCGAAAATACGTTTTACGAAGACATGTATATATATACATACATACATACATACATACATACATACATACATACAAACATGCATGCATACAGACAGACAGACAGACAGACAGACAGACAGACAGACAGACAGACAGACAGACAGACAGACAGACAGACAGACATATGTGTATGTGTATGTGCGTTTTGAAAACTCCTACCTAAATCTATTCTAAATTCTTAATAAACAAAAAACAACAACAAAAATATTAACAACAAAAATAAAACAAAAACACACACACACACACACAAAACGTCCCCGTACGACTGTTCGCCTCTTTTTGAATGTGTCTCCTGTAGAGGGACATGCCCGACTGGACAGAAGGCTCGGAGGGGCTCTGGCCGCCTGAAACATGATCTGAGCCTTCTCCGAAGACACCGAACATGTCCCAGAAGGCCGGAAGTTGGTGGCCACATGTGAACCCTAACCCCCACCCCCCACGATTTCTAAGGGGAGGTGGAGGTTCATTTCTTTTGGAAGGTCCCGAGCGAAGTGAACCCTCACCCCACCTCAGAAATCGAGGGGGGTGGGCTCAGGGCTCACACGTCGCCACTGAGGAGGGCTTCTGAGAAGCCCCGCCGCCTTCTGAGAAGGCCTGCTCTTATGTCGGGCCTGGCCCCCTTCAGGGGGATTATCGACGAAAAATTTAAAACATACCCCAAAATACACAAAACATATCATATATATATATATATATAAAGATAAAACCAACAAACAAAACAAAAAAACTATGTTTGAGTATTGTTTGACATTTTTGAAAATATGTTTCACTTTTCGTCGAAAATCCCCCTGTAGGGGGACACGCCCGACATAACCCTGCTCCTCTTCACCTTCCCCCCTGGGCGCGCCGCCGGGTGACGCACGCCGCCACCGCACGGCGCACGCCCCCGAGAGGGCGGGGGAGGGCCGCCGCACAGAAGACGCCGCTCTCCCATGGGGGAAGCGGGCCCCGGGAGGCAGGACGCCGCCAGCCCTCCGGGGCGTGGCCGCCTCCCGGCGGTGCACGGTGCGGCCACGGTCGCCGTCGACGGCAGGGACGAGGACGGCGCAGATCCACGCTCACCGCGCGCGCGCGGCTGGAGGAGGAGGGACGGGGAGGAGGAGGAGGAGGAGGAGGAGGAGGAGGAGGAGGAGGAGGAGGAGGAGGAGGAGGCGGAGGAGGACGAGGTGGAGGAGGAGGAAGAAGAAGAAGAAGAAGAAGAAGCAGAAGAAGAAGGAGGACGAAGAAGAAGGAACGCAACAGCCTCGAGCGAGAAGAAGGAACGCAACAGCCTCGAGCGAATGTTTGGCCAACGCCAAAAAAGGAGGAAAAGGAGGAGGAGGAGGAGGAAGAGGAGGGGGACAGGGCCAAGCTGGGTGCGCTCGTGCCATATCTGACATCCGACCCTCCCACACCCATCCGATCCCATTGCGCTAATTTCCCCTCTCTCCGCCGACGCGCGCGCTGCTATCAAAGGCCTGACATGAGGGAGAGTCCTCGCGCGCTGCACAGTCTGGGGGGCTGAAGCAGGCGAGCCTGCACCTGCTTTCGCAGAGCAGGAGGCGAGCCAACAGCTGTATCACAGATCATCCTTGCTGTGATTCGGAAAGAACTGCGCCCAGATCACCATCTGACATCCTACCCCTCCCATTCACC